TAGCCTATATATGATAAAAGAGTTTCAGAATATCTAGAAAAAATTACACATAGTACAATATATCACATAATATAAAACCATTCTCTTGGAAAATAATCACCTAGAAAAATTTCTGCCAAAAAGTAATATAGTACATAGAATTGTGAAATTAAATATATTTCTTTCATATCTTCTAAAATTATTATTTTTTTTAACTTTTTCTTGTGTATTATCTATAATTTATCAATAATATTTCATGAAAAAATTATATATAGCTCAAAAATATTGATTACTTCAACTTCAGCTTTCACTTCTAGTAATATGACTGAAGAAAAGTTCACTTCTACTTTGGCTGAAGTGATTAGAAAGTTAAATACTAAAAAGCTCATTAAATTTTTATTGGAGAGGAAGACTTGTAACTTGATGAAGATAATTTCAAAATTCTCCATGATAAAAAGATCATTGACCATGTATTCCTCAAATTAACCAAGGAAAAACTTTATATCTATAATATGAAAAGAGAGCTTATAATAATTCTTGTGAACTTTGTCAAGAAAGTTAAGAAGATATTAAGAGTGAAGAGCAAAATAAATATTACAACTGCATTCTAATATATCAAATCTATATTGCTCTCTTGATGTGGGGTGATAAATCTATCTTTATTATCAAAGTACTAAATGTTTTCTTTTATGTAGCTAGCATTTCAAAATCAAATACTAGACTTGTATTTGTTTTTGTAGATAATTTCAACTTATTTATTAAAGAAAAATATACTGTTAGTTATCTTGAAGGAGCTGGTATCTTTGATTATCATAGAAATTTCTTTCAGCTTAACCTGCTCTATATTGATCATGAACATCTTCTATTAATAGTACTGAACAGATGATAAATAGGTAGTAATCCAGTAATTGTTGACTTTCATCCTTCTCTAAATGATTCACTATAAGATCAAATTCAAGATCAGAATTTTGAGATGATTATTTATGATCATATTATAAATAAAGAAAAAAAAATTGATATAGAACTTGAAGCTTCTATATTGGATGTCATTCTTCTTAAGGTTCTTGATATACTTATTTTAGTTGCTGGCAATGATAATTATTCTCCTATATTAATATAGACACTGGATTATAATTGGAAGGTTGAAATCTGGTTTTGATTATCAAATATAAAATATTGCTTTGTTTGAGTTATATAAGTTCTCTAAGTGAATGTTTCATTATATAAGAACTTCTGGTAATCTCAGAAAATTATTCTTGTTTTACAAGCTGGATAACTATTATCAATATTTTTCATATAGATACAGACAGAGTCCCACAAGAAAAAATCATCTTCTTGAAATAACAGATGGTGAAAAGCTTATAAAATGGAGAGGTGATGAAGTAATGGAATGTTTTGTTTTATTAAGATTATTTGGATGGTGATTCCAGAAAGAAGAACAGATTATATACTTGTACTTTAATAGCAAAGCAAATTTAAAAAAAGCACAAAATTGGTTGGAATCTAATCATTCAGATATAAGAGTTTGGGAAGTGCCAGTGAGAAGAAAAAGTTACTCTTAATGATGATGCTTTGTGAAAGAGAAGGAAAAGAGCAGAAAAGCTTTTTATGAGCATTGGAGGTAAAATAACATATCACAGATCTATTATCATATAGCAAACATTAACTGTTACAAGACATGAAATAAAAATAACAAATTATATCTATTGATATTTGTAAAATTATTTTTTAAATGCTACATTACAATGTAAAAGGCCGGCCTATATATAGATAGGAGCGTGGATAGAGACGTTTAAAGGGAGGAATAAAGCATAATGCCTGCTGAATCCTAAGCCTTTTGCATAGTAAAAATATCAGTTCCTTTCCCTATCCCGCACTAGCTATCATGATTTATTTCTTCTTCCTTCTCACTTTCCGGTTCGGTATCTATTTCTCCATTCTGTTTTGATACCCATAACTTTAATGCGTCCAATGTCTCTTCTTTCGGATTTTTAGTCGGTTTTTTATGGAAATTCCTAATGGTGACATCACTGATCGCCATCCCCCTCTTATGATTGATAACAAGGGTTCGGATTTCTTCAGCTACCTTGGGGTGCAGCCTTGCCATGGACCGTTTTTCGACACGCTTTTTCTCGTTGAATAATGCATCAATTTCTTCCCACAGTTCGAAAACGGTGCCATTATAATTTTGAGGCGTTTTGGATATACCAGATCCGGCATTACTACTTGCGACCCCATCTCGAACTTCGCGAATGTCATAACCAAGATGTTTTATGGCTTCAGATAAACCAGAGATAATATTTTGTTGTTTTTTGAGTGAGGCAGTCATTTTTGCGTCGAATCGCTTTTCAGTGTTCCTAGAATTACACCAGGTTATGATGTAAAGAAATACCATTTGGATCAGTATGGTGCCGACGAATACGAGAAAATCGGTAGTGTTTGAGAACATCTTTGTATAGAGTTTTTATCGCGATGTAAATTTGTGTGATTTCGCGTCGATGAGTTATTAGATTTTTAGGATTTGTAGTTCGATTTTATTGGGTAATAACGAAGCCGAAATATTCGACAATACCACATACTTTCCGACCCCCTATTTTTCAGCATTATCCAGCATCACGTTCATAACCGCGCCCGTACCCCTTTTTTGTAGCATTCTTCAGCACACGAGATCGCATTGCGCCCCCTATTTTTTTTGCATTTACTAGCACACGTTGTCGATACTATAGATCATAACGATTTTCCCCGCATTATCCAGTCGATAATATATATCGCGACGATCTTCCAGCATTTTTCAGCACAATCGTTCACGTTCTTTAGTATAATAGACCACGCCACTCTTTCTTTTACTGTTGCTCGGCCTATTAATGTAATAAAGAAATTAAATTATATAGAATTAGAATAGTATCACTTTTAATATAGCAAAAGATAACAAACATGTATAAAACGAATGAAACGAATGGCTCTCGGGTCTTTAGAAAAGCAGAAAAGAAAAAAAGAAATAAAATTGCGTACATTACCTTTTCTCCAAGAGAAACACTTGTAAAAATCGCTTTATTAGAATCGTAATTCTAACATGTTGGTTAGGTTCTTTCCACCAGAAAAGACGACGAATTGGTTAGGTCCTTTAGTCCAGAAAAGGCGAAACGCATCATTGATTGAATGATTTGATTGATCCGAGTTTAAGGCTTTTAGCTAGAAAAAGCACAGGAATAAAAAGAATAGATTAGTTAATAATTAATGAAACGACCATATTGAACGATATCCGTAGATATCGGCACAGGATTTAGACCAACTGATAAAATTAGTCTAATCGCCCTCTCCCACCCATAGTCACGGTGCACAAATTTCCCCAAATCCACCCCACCTGTGACGGTACATGTGCATATAGAATATGTAAGCACAGAATTCGGTATAGATATCGATGCCAAATGAAGGTAAAATTAATAATTATGTCTCGAGCGTCTAATATTAATTGAAAGGACACCGAAGCGTTAAATCTGAGCTTAAAAAATTAATCATATAGTATTTTGCGTTAAAATATTACTAAAGAAAAAAAATAGATTTCAAAGTTTATAAGACGGATGAATGTCCTACGAAAATTTATCGAAAGAATTAAATAAACGAGGAAATATTTCAATTTTGAATCAAGACAATGGTAATGATATTTTTGTTTATTCTCAATCGTGAAGAAATCATTAAAGTATTTTTAAGTTTTGATATAGATATATGACCAATGAACACTCGTATGTTAATGAAGGTAAAATTGATATCGACAATATCTTAGCAAAACAGGTGTATTATAATTTTTTTATTAATTTGCTTTTAATTTGCAAAGTTATTGAATAGACGAATAATCATTTATGGTATTTGTAGAACTTGCAGTCAATCAAATATCGATGTTGGATTTTGCCATGATTGTCGACTTCTCGATGATTTAACGTTGTTTTGGAAATAATGATATTAATAGTGGGTGAACTTTAGAAATCAAGACATATATATATATATATATTTATTAACAAAATTAGTATATCAGAAAATTTTATTTGATATTAAAAATATTATAAACACTATCTTGTTAAGTGAGCCCCACCCTTGCTATTAAATTTAGTCACAAATTTTAAGTTAAAAATATAATTCAAGAGATCCTGATATTTCATATCAAATATTCAGGTTCTCAAGTTCCAAACGATGGTAAATTTAAATTTTTTGAAAAAAATACAGTATCAACATTATATTACCGGTTTCCGTTTTCAATGCAGCTTTTTTATCCTATATTAAGAGATGAATGAATATATATCATAGTTGTGAAAGGTCAAACAAAGTGTGCTTTAAAGCTCTAATTCATATAATTGACTTAAATTGTGTACAAATTGCCTTTATATTATTACGTGAGTGAATTATTATGAATCTTTTAGATTTTAGGAATTGGAAGGGTATTTATTTGGCATAATCATATTAGTTTGATTCATATGCTGATTTTTACAGATATTGTTTAAGGGGGTGGATAGCTTGGATAACACTTCTGTGATTTCTCTACCAGGCTTGTTTATAAGGATGCAGTTTTATACAATTTTTTATTTAACTATTTTACATTGTTAGACTTAACATGCGACCTATTGTTAAGATAGAACTTAAGAAAAACATGTTTTGCGAAAGAACTCCCCAAAGAATAATAAATAAAGCTTTGGACCAACTTGAAATATGAATTTGGATAGAATTCTTCGGATGTAACGTAAAATCCTTCCAAATTTGGCTAGTTAACGGTTTTTAATCGAATTCATATATTTTTCGCGTCCGATAACCTCTACTCCCTAATCCTAACCATAATCGAAATATTAATTGATATTTCATAACTTGCAATTTGCCATATTTCTGATTTACGAGCTATAGACACATGTGGTTTAAATCACAATCACTTTTATGGCATTTTCCTGCATTAAATTGAAGTTTATTTTCCTATTAATCGATTAAATTGCTACTTTTTTCTGATGTCTGAGTTTCTCACAATTTAAACAATATTGTTAATTCTGCACAAAAATAAACGCATCTTCTAAATCCTGAGTTTTTATTACATTTTTTTGAGCACTTGTATAATAATTACGGTTAGCTTCTTTGGTTTTTCGTATTATCGCTCTATATATGAGCAACTATATATAGACAAGGGCTCTTAAGACATTAACTTTATTCTAATCACAACCTGTTAAACCTTTCAACATCATATCAAACTCGTAAAAAGTTCTGGTTATGAAGATATTGAGTGACTCTAAATCAAGTTGACGCATTATGCTTTTTATAGGATTAATGCGTATAATACGGCAACTCCTATTATCATGTTGTATAGGAAACAAGTCTGCTGATTCTAAAGAGTGAAATTAATCTCGCGAAACAATAACTAAAAATACAGAGGATGTTGTTAAACCAAATGAATTTGTTACTAATGGTGTTGTTCGTTATTAATAGAGAATATTTGTTGTTTGTAAATAATATTTTGCTAGAAAAGCATTAAAAAGTCGCAAACAAAGCTGGTCTAACACGATTTATGCCGCTCTTGTAAAAGTTCCAATTTGATGTTGTTTTTAATACAGCTAAAGATGTTTGCTCCAGTTGGCGGTGTATACTCAAAGCCAACGTTAGCACTCCAAAAATTCCATTTAAATTTTTCCACTTTTAACAATTAACGCAACTGTCTACATACTTTAGTTTTTATTAATTTTAGAATTATAGTTGAATAAATTCAGAATAATTCAAGGAGTTCAGGGAAAGCATGATCAAATTGATTGATGCCACAAAAGAAGACTTTACTGGCGCCAAGTCCTCTCCTCATCTTTCAATAAAACTTTTTACTTACTCTGAAGAACCTAATGAAAATATGCTTGTCTGAATCATACAAATTAAAACTATATTTTCAGCTCAAGATATTACAGAAGAGAAGATGTGAGTACAATATGCTGTCACATTCTTAACAGATGCTATCTTACATTGATATCTTAATAAATGCAAGACACAGAATGATACATCATATAATACCTAGAAAAGCTTTGTAATTGCACTTAGAGATGCCTTCCAATCATCACATTACTAATAATATCTTTACTGTCAACTATATCTTCTTTGCCAGACTAGATTTATACAAGATTATGATACTAAATTTAGAAATATAATTGGATAAATTATAGATATGAATAATCTAGATCAAGTCACTTATTTCATAAATGGTCTTAAAAAATTTATTGCAAAGATGAAAATTAGGTATCAAATACCAGAGATTCTAGAAGAAGTCTAAAAGTTAGCTATTCAATATGATATAGTTATATATAGACAAGATAATGAATATACAAAATAGATATAATAATAACTACTTATATTAATAATAAAGAAGTTATCAAAATAATTAACTAATATCAATAAAATTAAATCAAGCAGAAAGTTCTTACAAGAATACACAAAAAAATAACAAATAAAAAAATATATACTATAATTGTAAAAAGCCAAAATATTTTATAAAGAAATATTATTCAAAACCAAAAGTAAAGATCACTAATATTAAAGATACTCAAGAAGAAATATCTTGTCAAAATAAAAAGATAGAATTTATCTATCTAGAAGATAATTATGAAAGATTATTTAATTTAATAACTAAGTAAATAGCAAGCCAGTTTGAATATTACTAAATAATAAAGCATCTAAAAATTTTATTAATGAAAACTTTGTATAAAAGAATAAAGTTAAAATATAAATAATTAATTTTATTACTATTAAACTTGTAAATAATAAGAAATTAATTATTATTTATCATCATGATAAAAATTAATAAACTGAAATTAGATATATATTATATATATAAGATAACTAAAGTATTAAAATATAAAAATATAAACTAATTCTTAATAAATCTTGATTATTTTATATTAATTTAATTATAAATTAGAGAAATAATATTATTATCTTTATTTATAGATCTAAAATTATAAAAGTTCAAGCTAATATTAAAATAAATTTTGAATTAAGTTATAATTTAATTTATATTTTTAAATAAATTAATCAAATTTAAAAATAAAATCTATTTTTTCTTTTATAATTAAATCTAGTTATACTTGTTAAAAATTATTTATTATATTTAAAGAAAAGAATTATTATAAGCTAGATAATTTTTAATACATTATCAATATATAATATAAAATAAATATCTTTTTTATTATATTATTAAGTTTTTTACTATATATAAATATAACTTATTATTTTTTTTAATTATTAATACAAATAATAATTAAGAACTATAAAAAGATTTTAATTAGATTATTTTTGAATATTTTTTATATTTTTTCTTTATAAACTATTTATTTTTGTATGATATTCTATAAATATATTAATTTATTAACTTTAATTTTCTAATATTTATAATATATTTTATTAAAAATATCTTACTAAATTTATTTTTATTTTAAATAAATAAATCTAAATAATTATTTATAAAATTATTAAATTTATCTTTTTATTTTTTATTTAAAATATCTATATAAAATTTATTTTTAGTTTTTATTTTTTTATATTAATAATAGAATTCTTTCTTAATAAAATCAGAATTTTATTTTGACTAGTTTATTTTTTAATTTATTTTTTTAATTTATTTATTTTCTTAATATTTATTTATATATTATAATAAAAAAGTTAATTATTTAAATTTTTTTTTTATTTTTTATTATCTTTTTCTATTTTTTTTTTATTTTTTTTATTACTTTTATAAATTTTTTTTGATTTTTTTATAAGATTAATTAATATATCTGATTAATATATTAAGTTATTTATTATTTTATTCTAAATATATTACTAAATTCTTAAAGCTAATTTTGCTTTTATTTTAAATAATCAGTTATTATTACAATATTTAAGACTTGTAAATCTATTATTTTTAAATATAAAATGATTATTGAACTTTATAAAAGTAAATATAATATTATAAATATTCATAAATATTTGAAATACTCAGAATTACTTATATTAATATTATTATAATATAATAAGATATTACTATTATTATAATAATATTAATTAAAATAATTTTATTTTATATTTAATTAATAAATTATTAACTATTTCAAATAATATTTTTGATTTATTATTAATATTAATTATTAAAATATATAATAACTTATTTATATTTAATTTAATTTTTTTAAAAAAACTTTAGTTTAATCTTTCTTAATATATTATCTTGTTTTTTTTTAAATTTAATAAATAAAATAAATATAATAAATAAAAAGATTTATAAAAAATCTAGTACTTTAATATTACATAAATATATAATTATCATCAATAAATTTAATAAATATCAGATCAGCAATAATTAGTAAATATGCTAATTATCACTAATTTTTTGATTATACTGACCTAAAATCTATGCAAAACTCTGAAAATAGAAATTTTGAAGAAGTATAATCTGAAGAAACTGTAATAATTAGCATAATTACAGATCATTATAGTTCTTTGAACAAAAATTAAATAGATAAATGATAAAAGATCAATTATATGCATTATCATTTATTTTTTTTTAAAGTTTACTACAGGTATAAATTTGACTTTAAAATTCTTTGTCCATTAGTTTTTCAAAATATATATTTATTTAACAAAAAAAGATTTTTTTTGTCAAATCTTGGCATAAAATATATCTCTTATTCTATAGATTCTATTGAAATTATATTATACTCTTTGATATAATATAGATGAGAGCAACTGTACTTTTCTGGTTCATTTAGCACAATATCATACTAACAAACCATAGCAAGATTGTATTAGTCCTTTGTCAATCCTCAAAAAAACTATAGAAAGAGCAGTACCTTTTGGAAGAAAATATAAAGATTAATTTATTTAAAATTGCTAAATTTGAAATTATATTTTACTATTCTTCAAGTTATATTTATCTTTTTATACCAAGCATCTTCATCTAATCTATAATGACTTTGGTCTTCAGCTGAAGTTACTGCAATATTACTGAATCACTCTTTGTCATGAAAATTTCCAGATATTCTCAGAATTTTGCCACTTTTCAAATAAATCATGTCATAAACTTTTATACAAAAGTCTTCACTTTCAGATTCTTGTGATAATATATTGAGAAATATATCTAGCGCAAGGATTATGTATGATAATTCTTTAATAAAGTTTGGATATGATAAACTCTTCAAATTCTTTAATGAAACCACTTTTGCTTTAATAGTATTCAAAGATAATTTCCATAATACCTTGCCAAATCCTATAGTTTTATGATAAACTGTCTTATTCATCATTAGAACTAATTCTTTGCACTTTACCTATAAGTATAGTTTAGAATTTATAATAAATTGATCATAATTGATATACTTGACTTACTGCATTTACTATTTGCTACACAGTATTTTTTCTATTTAATAACTAGTACAGATTTTTCACATATAACTTGTGAAGTATTTTGTATATTTTCATTGAGAGATCATTCAAGGTATCATATTTACAAATTGTCAGAATCATATGGTAATATTAACTATGCAGTTTAGGAAAACTATATTTTATAGTGAATAGTGATAAGAAGATTCTCTTAAATTCAGTTGACCAGTCAGTAATGAGAATCTGTATTCATTTTCAAAGTCCATTATTAGTTCTTCAAAGTTTAATTAATTTTGCTTTATTTTATCTCAAATTCTTTTAAATCATTTTCAATAAATAACTCCCATCTACTCATCATATACATCCTACTGAACTTTGCATAAAACATGCAGAGTTCATTACAGATTATATCATTCCATATGTTAAAGATATTATCTAACATGAAAAGAGTGATTTTTATGATATATTAATAGTTTGTGGCTATCATCACTTTTATTTGATCTAATTTATCAAACAGCTTTAATATAGAAAAGCAAGGAATTTGACAGAGGTGGTTATAAAGTTATTTAGTAATTCTATTCCTCTAACTTCTTTCAAAATATCTTGAATAAAGTTCAATTGGTATTTGAAGAGACCAAGATTAATATGATATATATAATCAAGTATACAAGCTTCATAAATATTTAAGTTTCTATAATAATTTAATAACTTTAATTTAATTATAACTCAAAATTAATTGCAGAAAGATTAGCATTCAAATACTCACAAGAATTTCCAGAATATATTTTTAATATTGTGTATAAAAAAATCCTTGCCCTAATCTTTATTTATAATCTGTCATGTATTTTCTGGTATTCTAAGATTTGTATTCTCTGATGTAAGATTCATATTATTAAGATTATTCCACAGAACCATGCAGACA